ATTTATATCAAATGGAAGTCCACTCATCTTAAAGTGGCCAAGTTTGGACAACACTGCCCTAGAGATTACACCAGCACTGACTTTTGCATTTTCATAAAGAAATTAAGACTTTTTCAGTTGGCCTTGGGCTCTGATGTGTTGAGTTTGTCCTTCCTGCAGGGAAAAGTTGTCTTTAATTTGGTTAATCCTTGGTTCTGTGTTATGTTGTTCTATTAATTTATGTTCTTAATCTTACTGCTCTAATTAGGTGTGTGAGCTGCTCAGAGTCAGTTTGCAACTGAAGTAACATATAAGCCTGGAAACTAAAATAAAATAAAATTGTACTAAGCTTGGGTTTTAACGTACTGTTCAATCATAGATTAAAGGAAGAAGGGGCCTGTACATCAGTGAGAGCCCAGGTACATATATCTTTTGCCCTGCACTGTATTTGGTGGGGATAACGTATGCGTTAGAAAAATATGTGGTTATGTTAATTGGATACAGTAGCAGTATATCAGATTGCTTGAACTAGGAAAGAAGAAAAGTATTCTGGAAAGTGTATCAAATTGCTTGAACTGGAAAAGGAGAGATGGGAGAAGACTGTGACAGTTTTGAAGGATCAAAGTTGTTTCATAATCAGAAACAACCTCTTTTGCATAGAATTTGCATTAAGTAGCCAGTGTGCTTATTTTAGCACCGTATATTGTACATTGTTTTTAGAGTCTGGGATAATAGAACGTTTCTACAAAGGTTTGGGGATGATGTGGTCTGGCCTCAGTCAGAAGAGATTTGCTATGATATCTTGTAGAGAACAACATTTTACAATTAAATATTCATGTTTATGATTTGAAGCATTCTCATTTATCTGCAGCTGCTGGCAGAACCTGGTCCCAAATATGCCTCTCTCTAAATAAACTCTGCCTCTCATTAATCTCAAACAGCTTGAAATACATGTTGTCTTACAAGTGGCTGCTTGTCCTCTGGTTTTCTAGTTGTTGCTGTATCATTTCTTAAGAAACACCATGGGCAGCTAATAACAACTGAAAGTCTAAGTGTATTTGTATCCATGCTGATTTTCCCAGAAAGCATCTGTTTTGATAGCTACAGCCACTTCTATCCAGTTAAGATGATAGTTTTGCATATGCGAATCAGAGTGGATTTTAAAGTTCTTCTCTAGTCCTGAAATAATCCCTGGAGAGCCAATGCTTGCTCTTTTATAGCATTTTCATTCCAAATAAAATCTTGGCAATTGTAATGCAACTAATAATTAAAATTTTGGAGCACTTTCACCAATGCAATAATCATTCAATGGAATAGTAGATTTAAATTGGACAAAATAAATTATGTAACACAGCAACTAAAAGAAATCAGCCAAAGGATTATGAGTTTGAGGTTCACTGAGTCTGTCAGCTACTATCAGATCACTGTTTGTATTCTTATTCTGCAGAGACCTTGCCATCTCCCTGTTTTCTGGTATAATATCACACACGACTTCTTATTTTCTACATGTGAAACTTGTTTTTGGATTCTGGCAGTATAGAAATCTGAGAAATAAACAAACAACAGCATCAAATGACATCCAGGTGGAATCGGGTAATATGACACATATGATACTGGTTCCATGGAGTCTCTGCAGCACTGGAGTAGCTTGGCCTCTTTCTTCCAGCCCTGAACAGAATGTATAGGAAGTATATGGGGGCTGAACTAATAGCTACCAGTTCTGTATGTAATGCTAAGCCATAACGTATTTTGCTTTTGTGTTTTGCTAACTCGGATAATTCTGGTATATTCAGTAAAATATGGTAAAATGGTTTGGTATGCAATGTTTAGGTCATTTCTTAAAAACTGTAGTAGAAGGTTTGTTGGGCACTTTCAGATGGTCCTTAAAACCAAAGTATAAATTGCTAATGAGTCAGAATTTACTCTCTCAATCCTGTTGCAGTTGAACAGGCCATAGCTATTACTGTGATTCCTTGAAAGAGCACATCTGCCAAATATCAATATATGGCTGGCAGCCTGTCTTTAGTTGATGATCACCACTTATACAATGACGTAAGTTTATTTTTAAAGAAAAATTACACTGTTAAAAAAAACCCACTTAATTCCTCTAACATACTAAAAAATGTCAACTTAAAATTATTCATTGCTATTGTTAAAAATAGCATAATTCAGTCTCAATGTAATCTTATGAACAGGCTTGAGATAGATTATCTTTATTCTACTTCAGTTGACCTCCTGGCATTAATCTGTACATAAATCTCAGTATTTTCAACTAGTTTTTGTTTGAAGTAAAGAAGGCATTAGGTTACATTCCTGAAAAAGGGTACCTGCTGAGGCTTCAAGCAATGCATTTCATTTCTATTATTGCTACTTAAGAATTTAAATCTACCCTGTAGTATAATCGGAGTGTTAAAATTGCAAAAGACTGTTTCTCAATATATTATGGATAAAGAAAGTGGTAAGGAAATTGATGGGAAAAATCACTCCACTCCTTTCCATGTCCTTAAACAGTATAATAATAATATTATTAGAGAACAGTATTTCCAAAACTATTCTGCTTTTTAATAACTATGCATTTGAGAGCAAAGAACCCAATAACAAAAACAGCTGAACAGAATATTTTAGGCATTTCTCTTTGTAGGGTCTTTAGTCCAAGCATTGACTGTGCATGATAACCATCCATGGCAAGCACTCAACATCTAATTACTCATATAGATTGCCCATATTAATGGTTCTTGCAATTCAGTTTAATGGAGAAATTGGGCACCAAATTAGTCTTATTTAAAACAATAGGTCCAGGCTATTGTTAAAAAGACCAAAGAGCTCAATTTTGGAGGGTTATGATCTGCTCTTCCATATACTGAAGGAAGTGGAGCAGAAGTTTGCTTTATGTACAAAGGTTCCAGTTATACTTTCCTAATCATCTAGTCACTGAGTGGTAGATGTTCTTTACTTGGATAATAGTGATGATTTATTAAATCTGTATGCTGCCAAACCTTCAAAATTCACAGTGGCTTACAAAATAAAAATACCATAAAATATCCATGGTAAATAATACTTTACAATAAAATGTCATGAATCAAATACTGATTTAGAGGCTGTTCGGACATAGTCCCTCTCTTCAATAACACATTCCTATATAGCTGGACACTGTGTTTGAGTGCGGTACCCTTGGCACTTTCAGTTCAGGTTGAACAGGGAGCTGATCTACAGTGGTACTTAAAAGTTTGTGAACCCTTTTGAATTTATTTAATATTTCTGCATAAATATGACCTAAAACATGATCTGTTCTCCATGCAAGTCCTAAACCTAGATAAATATAACCCAGTTAAATAAATGAGTCAAAAACATTATACTTGTTCATTTGTTTATTGAGGAAAATGATCCAAAATATGTATTTGTGTGTGGCAAAAGTATGTGAACCTTTGTTTCAGTAACTGGTATGCCCTCCTTGGGCAGCAATAACTGCAACTAAATGTTTCCAAGAACTGTTGATCAGTCCTGGACATTGGCTTGGAGGAATTTTAACCCATTCCTCCTTACAGAATAACTTCAACTCAGGAATGTTGGTAGGCTTCCTTGCATGAACTGCCCACTTCAGGTCCTTCCATAACATAACAAATTCTATAGGATTAAGGTCAGAACTTTGACTTGGCCATCCCAGAACATTAACTTTATTCTGCTTTAACCATTTTTTTGATCATATGACTTGTGTGTTTTGGATTGTTGTCTTGCTGCATGACCCACTTGCTCTTGAGCTTCAGTTCACGGACAGATACCCTGACTTTTTCCTGCAGAATTTTCTGGTACAATTCAGAATTCATTGTTCCATCAATGACGGCAAGCTATCCTGATCCAGAGGCAGCAAAACAGGCCCAAACCATTATACTATTACCACCGCAGTTGGGATAGGGTTCCTATACTGGAATGCAATGTTTGCTTTTAATCAAACACAATGCTTTTCATTCAAGCCAAAACCTTCTATTTTGGTCTCATTTGTCCACAGAACATTCTTCCAATAGCCTTCTGACTTATCCATGTGGTCTTTCACAAATGGTAGATGAGCAGCAATGTTCTTTTTGGAGAGTAGTGGCTTTCTCCTTGCATTCCTACCACTGTTGTTCAGTGTCCAATGGTAGTTGATATTCATCAATGTAAGAGACTCCTTTAGTTCCTTAGACATTACCCTGGGGTTCTTTGAGACCTCCTGGAGTATGACATGCCTTGCTCTTGGTGTGATCTTGGTTGGTATCCTGGGAAGGGTAACAATGGTACTGAATTGCCTCCATTTGTACATGATCTGCCTAACAGTGGACTGGTGGAGTCCAAACTCTTTGGAAATAGTTTTGTAACCTTTTCCAGCCTGGTGAGCATCACCACCTGTTTTTTGGAGGTCCTCAGAAATCTCCTTTGTTCGAGCCATGACACACTTCCATATCCCTGTGTTGTGAAGATCAGACTTTCATAGTGAATTCCCAGAATCTTGTTCTTTAGGTAAGGCAAAACCTCCCAAACTCAAACCTAACATCCCATTGACTGAAACACCTGACTCTAATTTCCCCTTCAAATGAACTGATAATCCTAGAAGTTCATATACTTTTTCCAAATGTAAATGTGTAGCTTTCAATCATTTTCCTCAATAAATGAATGAACAAGTATAATGTTTTCAAATCATTTGTTTAATTGGGTTCTCTTAATCTAGTTTTAGAACTTGTGTGGAGAACAGGTCATTTTTCTGGTCATATGTAGAAATGCAGAAATACTGAAAATTCAAAAGGTTTCACAAACTTTTAAGCACCACTGTATCAGAAAGATCCAATTCTTCAGTTTGTTAGAGTAGTAGTATGTATTTGCAGGCCTCAATCGTGTGGGATTGGGTATACTTTAGAAGAGGAGAACATGGTCTTCTTCAAGAGCTAAAATTCAATAGATTAAAGGAGAACCAGGCTGGGGAAGGTTGGTCTCAAAGATGCCTTTTCAAATCCTGGCATTTTTTTTTCCTGCAAGCATTATCACATTCTCTGTGAGAATTCTGAAGAGTGACAATATTGTTTATAATGAAACTAATAACTACGATCTTTAGTTAAGCACTGGCCATTCTCCTTGGGTCTGTTAACTAGTATTTGCTTGCCTATTGTTGGCCTAGTGGAAACAACTTTCAAAGTGTGTAATATTCTGGGCCCCTTCTCTTTATATATACTATGTTGCTTTTTGGATAACTGGAATTATGTAACTGGGAGGGCAATTATTTTGTAATTTCTAGGGTTTGGGCTTTTTATTTTCAATAGGAAAATATGGATTTGGCATGTCATTAGTGATACGATTGATCAGGCTTACATGAAAGCACTACAGGAACTCCCGTGCAAATATGACTTCCAGGGAAGCAATGGCAAACTGAAGATGGCTTCAGTTTTAGCTGAAGCTGACAACCACAGCAGAACAAGGAGCTGATGGATGGATTGGTGCCATGAAATTCCTCCCTGGACAAAGGGGAAGACTTAGGATCACCCTTAGGGCTCCTTACAGAGGCTCCCTGGGACAAGACCATAAAACAGTGGTCTCCAGCAGGTATTAGAGCTCTGGGAGCTAGGAGATTCAGCTTGCCCAAGCTGCGGCTTAGAGCCTTCAAAGAGACACTGGGTTCGCCCACTTCCTTTCTTTATCACTTTTGCAAATGGCTTATAAATGTCTTTTGGGATACTAAGAACCTTCAGAAAGACAAGTTTTATTTCACTGGGTAATTTTCCTTCAATCCTCAATGAAAGAAGTTTCATGTAAGTTTAAGGACTTAAAGATTTTTTTTTTATTGGAAATAAGCAGCAAAAGGATGATTAGAACATTGATTTTGGAAAGTTATAAATGGACTAAGGGGCTAGAATGACTGGGAATAAGATTTTGAAATAAACTGTAAGAATCCTTCCTGTGGTTTGTTTAAAATCCTATTAAAAAATATGAAGATTTTGAAATTAAGTGTAAGAAATTTTTCCATGGGAAAATGGTGTGGATTGGAGAAAAACATGATAAAAGGAGACCTTGAAGGCTGTTTACTAGAGGTAACCAGAAATAACTAAAGATTACAATTAAAGGAGAAGACCCACAAATGCAGAATGGAGAAAAGTATTTTAACTCTGGAAGATTTCAAGGATATTTGGCAACAATGTACTTAGAGCTTTCTCTTAAGATTGTTTGATACTACAAAAATGGGTTTTAAAGAGGAGATAGAAGAGGATACAACTGAGAATCAGGTTGTTTTGGATATGCATTTAAAAATGATGGAATATAAGAATGATATTGACAAAGATGCTACACAGGACTTATAAATGAAACTCACTGATGTTTTAATAGCTAAAAGGGACATACAAATAAATCAAAAGAGTGACGTGGATGTGTGGATTTCAGCGCAGAAGAGTGACTTGGACAACTTTCTTATTTTGGATTTACAAAAGAGATGTGTTATACTTATGAAGGAGTTTCTGAGAAAAGATAAAGATAGAATGAAAAGAAACCAGCTTTTGGGACATTACTTAAAATGAATAAACATCAAGACTTTTAAAACCAAAAAGTTGGTTTGTTTGATCAAGGTTAAAATATATGATGTTTTTTCTTCTTGTAGTTTTTCATGGATTTTTCTTGACCAGGACTGAATGATGAGATCTTAAAGATTTGCTATTAGATAAGATATGGGGAAGTGAAATTTTTTGTTGTATGATTAGAGAAAGTGATGGGTTATGATGTTAAAATTGAAAGAAAGTATTAAATTTGTGAAGGAATTTCTGAGAGAAGATGAAGAGAAAATGATAAGAAATTAAGTTGTGGGATATTATTTGAGGGGTTTAAAGATTAAGATTTTCTGGTAGCTCTTAATGGAATTATTTTTCTTAAGTTTGAACAAGCTTTTTTATAGGTTTGCTTATAGATATAAAACATGGGAAGAAGAGATTTTTGTTATATTTTTAGGGAAAATGATAAGTTACTGTGTAAAGGAAATAAAATGAAATTGATTTACTTGTTTAATGTTATATATATTGTTATTTCTGGTAACTCATAATGGCTGATTAAGATTGAATGATGAGGTTTTCTTATTTACTAATAGATAAAAGACGAGATACGGGATGAAGAGATCTTTGGTTAAAATGTTAGAGAAGATGATAAGTTACTGAAAATGTTTGTACTTGTCTTGATGAAGGGGGAAGTCACTTCTTTATATATTCTTTTTTCTTATATATATATATATATATATATATATATAA